CCTGAAATGTTGACGCGTGGATGCCCATTGGTCCCGTTGGTGCCACCAACCGGGACCAAAGGCCCTCCTGCCTGGGCTCGGCGCAGCGGCCACGTGGAGGCCCATCTGTCCCGGTTCTTATTTAAACCGGGACTAAAGGGCCAGGGCATTAGTAATGACCCTTTAGTCCCGGTTCAAAAACCGGGACAGAAGGCCCTTATCAACCGGGACAGAAGACCCTTTTTCTACTAGTGTCTCATTCAAGTAATATAACATAAAGAAAGAAAAAGAAAGCTGAAAAGAAAATTTTGCATGAGACTTAGTGTAAGATCTTACGGGTATAGCATCAATTGAGACTTAATCAAGTCTACTGTGGCAAACTGATTTGAAAGGCACCTCCTACTTTCCATGCAGCCTCAAAGCTCCCGCCACCTCGTATACTTTTCAGAAAGTGCATCTAAATAGTTACCCCTATTCAAAACTGTTTGGATCGAAAGTACTACTAAAATAGAGTGATTACGCAAATTTCCCATCCCCTACTCGTTGCCACATCCAGAACGCAGGAGGATCACAAGTAGAGGGAGGGGCATAACTACTGGATATTAGGTAAGAGCGACCAGGGCCGGATGGTGTGGCCACTAGCTTGCCATTCTTCCGGTAGCTGGCATTGAACATCGTCACGCGGAGCAGATTACCTTGATGGCCATCACACGAGCAGCGCCTCGCGACCTCGACGAGGCAGAACGTCCCATGCCCTATGTGGACGAGCCTGCGGCACATGGCGCTCAACGGGGCCTGCAGGAACGTCAGGGGCTCCTTGCAGAGCTTCCAAGCCGGCCGTGGCGTCGTGCCCTCGCCGAGGGACGGCACGTTGCAGGAGGAGAGATGGTAATGGCCCTTGATCCCACCATCTGTGCCGTCAGAGTGCTGAAACCCGACCCAGGCGTCCAGGGCGTTGTCGTAGTACGCCTGGTAGATGAATGGAAGATGCCAGTTACCGTGGTATGTCCACTTGCCGTTGTGCTGATGGGTGTCCCAGGAATAGGTGCCCGTCCCCTCGCCGAAGCCATGGCCGTCCACCGCAGACATGAAGATGGTGCGGCCATCTGGATGCACTGCACGGTTGAGGACATAGCCATGTCTGCAGGGAAGTGATGAAGGGCTGCGGTTCCATGTCCATCGCTCCTCCTCCGCTTGCGCTCTCTCACGATACGAAATTTCATCATCATCCTCACTGTCAGGATCCTCATTATCATCATCATCATCGTCGTCATCGGTAGATTCGGGTTGTGCCCGTGTGTCGTCGGCCCCGAGGTAGTAGAGCGGGGGCATCGTGGGGCAAAATGCGTACATCTTATCGCCGACAGCCACGGTTTCGTGCCAGTCTCGTAGATCTACCTCATCCGGAAGGAGTTGCGCAATGTCCTGCCTCCCTGTCTTTGTGTCATAGACAAGGGTGAGACATCTGGGTCGCCCGGCAGTCTTGTCATGCGTGTCTTTGGCCATACCAGTGACAACGATGTTGGTGCCTAGGGCATTGATCCTCGCTGATGTGCCGAACGAACGGAAACCTAGACGAAGCACCGGCTCTGGGAGGCGGTGCAGGTCCACGGTGCCGCCGCCGGAGTCGTCGCTGAACAGGTCATCCACGTTGAGCTTGTACAAAGCGTACCCCCTAGAGTCATCCAGCGCCACGTACAGATGCCGCCGATGCTGCGGCGGCTGGTTGGGTCCGTGGCAGCAGCCACCGCCTTGCCGATCCGACCATGCCCTCCCGGTGGCCACTTGCGTGGGTTCCCTATATCTGCCCGTGGTGTAAGGGATTCTTCCACCCATAACAGCAGGGACGGCACCGCCGTGTGCAGGTCGCCGGACTAGACGAAGACGGGAGAGAGCGTGCTGAGGCCGGGCGAGAAAGGATTGCCACATTGTGTGCCGGCCCGGGATACGACTATGATTGTTGCGTCGGAGGTGGATCCAGCTAGCTAGGATGACGGCGGTGGCGCTTGGTGGGTCGGGTATCGGCAGCGCGCGGCTAGATTGATTGGCAGCGGCTTAAGGAAGAAAATCTTATAGGACCAGGTCTTTCTTCTCCTCGTGTGAGATCCGCTTTATCTGTTGCCACGTGTTAACGCACATCTCAAAGCACCTCTGTCTTCTTTCCCCAATCAATTCCTCTAATGTTGATTCAGAATTCATGGCGCTGACCGAAGTTATGGATCTGTTCTGTAAAGTGTATTGATATTGGGTCCACGAATTAAAAACTTGAACAAAACTATGCATTCAGCTAGAAATACATGTGTTATATCTTCATTAGCCTGAGGTGTCTGCCTGTTTCCAGCAGCAGCTGCGGCTGCGGCGTGCCCAGCGCCAAAAAGACGGAGGTGCTTTGAGATGTGCGTTAACACATGACAGCGGATAAGGCGAGTCTCACGCGAGGAGAAGAAAGACCCGATTGTATAAGATTTTCTTCCGCGGCTTAAGGTGCAAAAATTGGATGGCTTAGATTCTTCGGAAAAGAATTGTTTTATCTTATTTAAGAGAAGTCTGGAGTCTTGTCTTTCAAATAAAGTATACTCGTTCTTAAGATTTAATAATATTATCTAACACATTACATGAATCATCTCCTTTTTATTCCTCTCATATGATATCGGCCTAACCTTGATTCAAAAACCTAACTGTGGCTGCTTCCACACCGGATGGTCAATCATCATGATCGCCACTGGAGACCGCGCCGTCCGTACACAGGGTTCGTTTGCGCTTCCATAGAGTCTTTTTCCCGAACTTTGATCCGGATTTTTTTTCTTTCTCACACCGGTCGTCTTGATTGACGTTTTTTTCTAATATATAATTATTTTTTTGCATGGTAATATGTGTCTAATTCATATCATAAAGGTCAAAGTACAAGTCACATAAAGACTGACATGAAAAAACTGAAAAGGCTTCAGAACGTTTCTGGGCTTGACACCTAAGTCCGTCACCTGCCTCCGTCACCACAATAGCAGCCACAAAGAAAAGAATGACTGCTCACCTTCTCACTCGAGCTCGCCGCGGCTCCATCGTTGATATGTAGTTTTGCGGGCCTCCAAAGATGGCTCATCAAAGGTGAATCAATTGCCGTGAATCAGACCGGTGGAACACCTCAGACACGCCATCGAACTCCAGATCTGACACCTCACCATGTCTAAGAAGTCAAAGAAGAAAATCATACCTGCCATCCATCAACCATGAACCCAGCACACGTTCCGTCTTTCACATGTAGTCGATGCAGACCACAATCTGTATCCGCTCTTAGACTACCTCCCAAACTCCGAGCCGACACTGGAGCAGACGCCGTTGCAAACGGCGGATCTCGAGGGCACAAGTCCACCACAAGAATACCGCCGCTGCCATGATATGCCCGCTTGAACAGACTGGTTGCTAAATCCATCACCTACCATATAAACGACCGCCCCGCCAGAGAAGAATTCGAATCTTCTTTATTCAGCACCACTGTCGCTGCCACCAAAGCTCAACGATCCAAAAACCTAAACTAGTAGGGCCCTAGAAACTAAAGCTAAAACGATCCATCAGCGTTGACTACCATCGGTAACTTCGTCACCTCTAGACATCACACAGGCGCACAACAGGTGGTATGACAGACAGGTACGTACTCTGGCAACAAGTGCTCCGGCTACTCAGGCGCCCCAATACTTTGTGGCCTCACGCGTGGATTCTCATCCACGAAAGCTAAGCGGTGCCGGTAATGCTACTTCTGAAACAATGCTCTTTACCTATGGTTTCCCATAAACTCACCCGCATGGGCAGCAGGCTCTCTCTGATATGGTCCGAGGCATCATGTGCGAGCATGGGGTAGAGGAACTCGACACATTGATGTGAAAGTTTCAACAAACTCACTAGAGCACGCGGGACGCGGCTGCCGCAATTTCGGCCGGAGGTGACAACCTCGAGCTCCGATGCGGGAAGCTGCAAATTAAGAGTGAAATATCATATAGAGTTCAATGGTGCAGTGTGAAGCGAATGGAATCGACAAGGCTCGCCGATGAGGGCAATCTTTGGCGTGCGACAGGACGGCGTGGCGGGGGACCCGATTCCAAATTCAAGCTCGCCTCCGGCACGTCAACGGCCTGTGCGACGCAGAGGTGGAAGTGGGCTCTCGTTGCGCGATGGTGCTGGCGATAGCAGCACCGCTTTAACCCACTTAGCGGCCTTGGGGAGCCCAAGGTTGGGGAATGGGTCTGACGGATGGGACCCGGCGGCAGCGGTGTCAACTCGGGTCAGGTTGCGGGTAACCCCTTCAACCCACTGAACAAACGGGTAGGGCCGTAGGGTAGCCATGCCGCCGCCCTCCACAGCCGCCGCTTCGGCGGCCCTCCGCCGCGAGGACCTCCTCCGCGTCGCCTCCCCGCTCCGCTCTCTGCTCGCCGCGGCGCCCTACGCGCCCCCCGAAGGCTCCGACACCTCCATCAAATCCCTCCTCGCCTCTCTCCTCCCGTCCACATCTGAGCCCCAGACGGGCGGGACCGGCAAGGAGGCCGTGGACCTGCTCCTCCTCTGCGCCGCCGCCCGCGCGGCCTCCGCGGAGGCCCCCGCGCTGCACTGGGTCCCGGAGGTGCTCTCCAAGGCGGCCGCCGCCGCGATGGAGGAGATGGCGGCGATGGGCGGGTGGGCCGGCATCGGGGAGATGTTGGTGGCCATGATGCCGGAGGCAGTGCCCCCGCTGAAGGCCGTGCTGAAGGATACAGGCGTGGACGCCAATGATGACATGATGATGATTGGCGCCGTGAAGCCGCCCAAGGAGCACGCCTTTGTCGCCGCGCACCAGTTCCGGTGGCTGTTGTCTCAGGTTCGTGCTCCATGATAGTTACACAAGCATCATTCTCTTTGCAAAGTAAATTCTAGGACCATGGCTGGATTGTAGTAAGGAGTAGTTTATTTAGGAAAACTTGACACCTGCTTGAATCAAAATGTTCAAATTACTGTGAGAAACACAAAATGTGTTGCAGTAAGTACCTGTGACAGCACCAGAAGCTTCAGTCACTAATTTTGAAGTATTTCAGCATTAAAGGTGTTTACTGAAGTTGCTTCTCTGAGTGTTTCAGGTTAATTACCCCAAGCTTGGCGATCTGTGCTGGTTAGTCATTCCATGTGCTTTGACGGCATTGGATCATTGGTCACCCGACGTTAAGGTATGATGATGTTCTTTTTTGGTTTCTCTATTGAGGATAACATTAGTATGTGCTCAACAGCGGGCCTAACTTTTTCTTTAACCACATTCAGCTTGACCAGTAATGCTTATTTCAATTTCCCCTAAATTGCTGTTGGTGAGCATTTTAAGTGAGAATGATCCATATGATTGACAGGAACAAGGAATGATTAGCTTCATGCACATAGCAAAGAATGTGAAAGCAACAGAATTAAGTTTGTATGAAGATGCAATACTTGACGCGTGTTGCCATAACATTCCTGCAGATGATGAGTTATGGTATCGTGTTGTTGAGGTATCAGTGCTGCTCTTGACTTGCACTCAGAGAAGTAATCCACGTAGCCCTTGGTACAATCTTTTCCTACTTGTTTTTTATCCGTTTTATTCCATGTTGTAATCATGTCTATTCTTTCAAGATCTACTATCTCTGGAGGAACAAACCTCATCCTTCTCTGAATTACATTGGAGTATGGGTATTTGGAAATGTATAAGATAATTATTACTCCCTCCGATCCAAAATAAGTGTCGTAATTTTCAACCATGGTTGAACTAACCTTAGTTCAAAACTGCAACACTTATTATGGATCGGAGGGAGTATGATACAAATGTACTACTCAGCTAGCATTTTTAGAACAGTGGTATAGCCTTTTCCTTTTGCACCAAAAGCATAGTAAGGAGAGTGATATGGAAAGGAAAATTTTGTTAAGTGTGATGAAAATGTGGTCCTGATATTTTAATGACGGCTTGGGAAATCCACATTTACAAATGGAATGGTTTAAAACTGAAAAGCTGCTTTTAAGTGAGATAAAGACAGTTATACATCATCTTCTCTTTTTGTTCGTCAATAGTCACTCAAAGGCAACTTAGATATAATTTGTTCTACTTGGATTGAAGTGCATCATCATCATTGGGAATCTGAGATAATGGTTGTAGTCACTGTCTGAAGAATGCAAAGCTAGCAAAGAGACACTGACTTAAGTTACTCAGCTGTCTACTGGAAATGTTTGCATGCTAATATGAGTTTTATAGGTACCATCAGTCTGGTTCATATCTACTACTTCCTCCGTTTCGAATTACTTGTCGTAGGTATGGATGTATCTAGATGTATTTTAGTTTTAGATACATCCATTTCTGCGACGAGTAATTTGGAACGGAGGGAGTATAAAGTATAAACCGCAACTGCAGGTCTTGTCTTTTTTTTTATACTTTAACTTCAGTTTTCCATTGGCTCCAGGTACGACCGTGTGCTTTCTGAGATGCTGGGCCACCTGGAACGGCAACCACTAAACAAAGAACGTCGTGTTGCATGGCTTACCCTTATCGGACCGGTTTTCGATTCTATGGGACTCTTCCTATTGGCACATTTTCGTCTCCTGTTCTCTCTCTTTTTCCAATGGATACATGCTGATGATGATAGAACAGTTCTTCTGGTGAGGAAATTGCCCTGATTATGGACAATGTAATTATACGTGTATTGGTTGACAGCTCCATGGTACACCCACAGTAGAGGACAATTAAACTTTACCCTTGTAATTATATGAAATTATTATATAGGTATTGATAGACAAGAGCTTTTGAAATATATTTTAGCCATGAATTGTTTGCAGGTTTTAGAACGAGTTCATACAGTTATTAAGCTTACCTGGATCAGGAAGTCACCCTACACTTCAAGGTACAGGAATTATGATACTTCTTATCGCTATCTTCTGTTTCTCCACTTGCTGAATCTGGAAGCTTCGAACTCACTTTATTTGTATTTAGGCTGGTGGATGAGCTTGTTCTTTTGTATAAAGAGTCAGCCACACGGAAGAGCCGTGAGATGATGAGAAATCACATAATGGAAATACTCATGCTACTCCAGAAGTAAGATTATTCTTCACTAGTGATTTTAGTTTGCATCACATTCTGGTGGTTTCTTGATCACGACCAGCTAAAACGAAGTCCCATTAAGCAGATAAATTTTACATTAGTTATTTCCCGTTTAAAGCATTTCGGTACTAATACTATCAAATGGCAGTTGAATATCTCTCAGAGTAATTAGGTTCGGATATTAGAATTGTAGACCGGTTAGCTATCATTCTACTATCTGGGTGCTACTTGCTGGCAGGGCACTTAAATTAGATACTCGTATCTTATTCTTCACTGTATCTTGCTTATTACTTTTACGAATTAGTGTTGTAGATAACCTTCTATTATTTCATCGCAGCATGTTTAGACTGCACACGAACCAAGTCAGTTTATGTCCAGGAATACTGGTTACCTTCTGTTGGTTTCTGCCGCTTGGATTCAGGGGAAAATTGCTGTTGCCTTTTTTTTCAAAACGGAAAATTGCTGTTGCCTTAAATCTTAATACAGTATATACTTATGGACATATCCAGCCAGAACTCCTACTTGAATTTTTTATATTTAATTTGTACTTATTACTGCATTTCATCATTTCTTCCTCTGAGATCTATCATTCGGTATTCTCATTGTAAGATGTACTCTTGTAGATGCAAGGGGCAGCAGTTTGAGGAAGCTTGGAAGAAGCATGAAGCTGATCTAGATTTAACATTGTTGCTATCCCGTTTCAAAGAACTTTGCACTGAAGATGGTTCGCTAGATATTTGAGTTCAACTGGTATTCTCGATGTAGATAGTTGTTTAACATGGATCAAATCAAGGCTGTTAAATCTTAGCTGTCAGTGTTTGAACTTGGGCGAGTGTATTTGCCCGTGGTTTTTTCCTGTAAGATTTGCACTCGTATTCTCAGCTAGATACATGAACTGAGGCAAACATACCAGGGGCAAGCCACTCTTATGCTGTAACTTTGTAACTTCCTGTAGGTTTGTAACTGTGTACTAAATGAACACGTAAAATCCTCTCAATTTACTTGAGAGGTGTAACTTTGTAACTGTGTACCCTGGTCGACATGCTAAACTGCATCTTTACTTTTATTTTAGCTCGGAGTAGTTTAATCTGGATACATAGTGCAGAGCCATGGAAGAACTCATCGAAGGCTCAAAATGTCGCGACGAGGCTTCCATCGTCTAGTCTAGGGGAGAATCAAAACAGTCTATCATGTCTGCCCATTTTTCTCCTCCGGGAAGCTGAGTATCTGCGGCTGCAGGTACCTCCCGTGGTAGATGAGCCTGAACATGGCCTTGTACGCCGCCTGCGTCATGTGGATGCCGTCCCAGCTCACGTACGCCGACGGGTCCGCGCACGCCGCCGTCCCCTCCACGCCGCACATCCGCCTCTCGTCGTAGTTGTACCTGCCGCCGGCGCCGCAGCATGCCGTGTGCGTGCTATTCTCGTCGAAGCCGAGCGCCGTGGCACCCTTGAGGAGGCCGAGGAAGGAGTTGAAGTAGTCGGCGTAGGCGATGGCCGCGTCGGGGTACGACTCCCTGAGGCCGGCGACGGCTCGCTGGAGCTGCGCGTTGTGCTTGGCGGCGAAGAGGTTAAGGTCGTTGAGGCAGCCCGCGGAGTCGTAGGCCGACTGCTCCGGCGAGGCCATCGCGGTGAGGTAGCTCGGGAAGCACCCGATGGGGAAGTTGCCCGGGACGATGACTCTGCCCGCGCCCATGTCCAGCACTTCCTGTGATGATGGAGGCACCTCGACAGAGTTAGTTCCTGAGGTTAATCTATTAGCCTTAGGTGTAAGAGGAGGTGTTTGATGGCAGTACCTTGGTGGCGTCGATGATGGTATGAACCACGGCTGGGATTAGTTTCTCCACCTCACTGACAGACTTGTTCCCGAAGAACGCGTAGTTGTAATCATTTCCTCCGATCTCCCCGACCAGAACCAGAGAAGATTGGAGCCTTTTGCGAATTTCTGCACGCACAAATTTTACATAGAGGATTAGTATGTCTGACTGTTGAAAGAAAACAGAGTGCGTACTGAGACTGAGAGAAAGTAATAGGAGGGAATTTTTTTTTTTTTGAATTGCCTTCGTCGGTGTCGAAGGTGGACTTCATGAAGTCCTTGAACCACCGGAGCTGCAGCTTGAGGGAGAAGGTCCGGTTGGACTGGTCGTCGGGGTCCATGGCGGTGGCTCCGGCGACGGCGAAGTTGACGCCGTGGTCGAAGCTCGTGTTCTTGGCCAGGTAAGGGTTGAGGAACGGGAGGCCCATGTCCTGAGCTGCATTTGCACGTGAGAACAGAACACTGAGTGAGTGTCACGTACGTTTACTACAGTGCAGTACTACTACTGTTCACTCTGAAGCAGAGTATGCATGCACTGCTAGTTGGGACGAACGTGCGTACCGAGGAAGTCGATCATGAGGAGGCCGTCGGAGCATCGGCCGGTGGGGCGGCCGAAGGTGACGCCGTAGGGGAGGTGCTTGATGGTCTCGAAGGCGCCCGGCGGCGCCTCCTTGGCCAGGTTGCCCGTGTCCGTGATGGAGTCGCCGAGGCTGTAGATCGCCGCCACCGCGCCCTCGCCGCCGCCTTGCCCGCGGCAGCAACACACGTGCAGAGCAGCAGCGACGAGGAGGAGGAAAGCTGCCGAGGAAGCCATGCAGAAAACGGTTCTAACAAATGACAGGAGTCGATCGAGCTAGCGAGTGATGATGAGGACTCCGTGTGCTCGCCGTGGCCTCTATTTATACGCACGTCGAAGAGGCAGCAGGGCAGAAACAGTGAGAGCCGCACGCGCACCATCCGGCCGGGTGTTCTAGAGAGAAGCGTGGGGTGGTGGTTCTTTCGTTGCTGGGACGGCGCGCGTGTGGGGGTGTGGCGAGAAAACATTCTGTCTGTCGCTTTTGCTGCTGATCCTCGGGTTTCTGCTTTCCTTTGGACTAGAGTCATCAGCAGCAGGGAAAAGAAGGAAAAGCAACAGCTAGCCTGCCGTTGATCATCACGTATGTACCAGAGCGTTTAAATCACTATCTCTTTTCGGAGGGAGTACGTTTCTCTGAAAAGATAACGAAATCTTACGAGAAAGAACGGAATTCTTTTTTACGCCTTGAGCGAAGATAGAACAAAGATGAGCAACAGCCTTGCGCTGCTCACGACGCGCGCACGTACGTTTCCCGTGGGAAGAAAACGAAATCATCCGGGCATATTCTGACGTAAGTTGCGTGCTTTGCAATTCGCATTGCATATGTCACAACAAAATTTGAGAAGCTGAAAACCGGTGGATCTCAAACTGGCAATAAGACTCTAGACAGAGAATTTGATGAGAACATGGAAGAGGAAAAAGAGATGAAGGATGCAAATGCTAACAGGAGAATTGAGGACCCCCGACTCAACTGAAAAGGAGCAGGAGGATCTAGACCTGGTTGATTATAATGCAAGTTAAGAGCAGGATTCCTTTGGTACTATGATAAAAAAAAGCCGAAAAGAAAGGAAAAGGTTGCAACAAAGGATCTGAGATGATCAGAAGATGTGATAGCCTTAAGGACAGAGAGGATCTGAAGATTGCAGGTCTAGCTAAGGAGATGGATGCCAATAAGGATGACTATGATGATAATAGAGCAGCCCATGAGCTAGCAAGGATGGCTAGAGGTCCATTATGTAGTGGCTGGTTTGAAGAAGCCCCCTCTGAAATTTTCTCTGTACTGGTCGATGATGTAACTGTAGTTACTATCTAATAAAGAGGGATTGTTTTTATAAAAAAAAAAAAGGATGACTATGATGAGGAAAACATCCTTACTGTTCTTGATTCTTCTAACAATAAATTTTCTTATGTGGCCCATGATGTGGGGTGGATTTAGAAAAATATATTGATATAACTAATTATAATATCAATCTTATTAAGCTAGTTGAACAAGTTGGAGTTGACTTGTGGATAAATAATAATTCTAATAAAAAATCTCAACTCCAGTTAAGGAGATGAGACATGTGATTCAAACAGGATATCATAACATTGAAGAACAGCTTGGGGATGAGGAAGATAGTGATATGGATACAAAAGATGCCAGTTGGGATCATTTTAAACATTTTTTTCACTAAAAACAAGAAAAAAAAAGTTAGGGCCCCACATAACTCTGGAGGTTAACCTGTTGTCCTGATTAAAGGATTGGATAAATCTAGCAAAAATAAAAAAAGCTAGTGGAACATTTTCTTAATGAGGGATATTATTTGGAATATGAGGGGCTTTGGTGGGATGTGAAAAGG